TAATGTACTTCTGTGCTGAATCTTTCAGCGCTGTTTTATTGAATCAGTCAGCATTGAATCATTTATAAGTGCAAAACAAACGCGCTGAATGCTGAACGGTTAATCATTCAGCGTTGAATCGTTCCATTAAGAGGCAAACAAACATCCCCTAAACATAAAATATTATCTGTTGAAATATAACTGTAGACACCCGTTTTTGTCCGGGTCTTTTTTGTATATTATTATTATCGTTATTATTATTATTATTATTATTATTATTATTATTTAATTTACATTTACAAATTTTTGCAGGCCTAATCCCTAAGCCCAACAGCATACCCAACAAGCTGGAGCAGACCCGGTTCAGGCCCAATACCAATCCCAGGCCCACTTGACAACCCAGCTAGGGTTTCATCTCAATGTTCCAGCCGCCTCATTTCTGGCCATTGGATCTGGACCCATCCAACGGTCCAGATCACGCAGAGCTTAGGGTTTGAAACCCTAAAATATCATCAGCTCAGCCGTTTAGCCTTCCAGCTCCAGCCGCCGCTTGACTCTTCAACTTCAAGCCGAGCGTCCCCTCGCCGACAGCCTCTGACGTCGGCTGCCTGCATCCACAGTGACCGAAGGTCCCCCCACAGTCATCTACAGTAAACCACAGCAACCCCATCAATCCATATAATCCCGAAAATCTGGGATTCTATCACAAAAAATCTGAAAACCCATTAAAATAGTCCTAAGTCCCTAAATATTCGGCTGTCCTAAATCCCTAAATATTCGGCTTTTGGTACTAACCCGAGCCTAGGAACATCATTCCTATCAAATAGAGATGATGATTCTCAGCCAAGGACCATAAGAAACGGACATGCAATGACAGAAAAAAAGGGGGGAGGCGGTGATAACAAAAAAAAAGAGAGAGACCATTCGGGAGTTTTCAGAACAAAAAAAAGAAAATATAAAGAAAACAGAGAGAAAAAGGGAGAAGAGAAATGCTTACCGAGGAGGGAGGTTCGGCGAAGGCATGCAAGGAGTTCAAAGGTCACCGCGTCTTGTTGTTTCGAGAGGTAAATCGGTAGATTTAGGAGACTGGGGTAGTGTTTAGGCAAAGTGGAGTGGGGTTTTGAGTAGTAGGGGTTGAGATGTTTCTTTTGAGGGTTGTTGGGCATCTCCGGCCGCCGTGCGCCGTCGCCGCCGTGAGCGCCACCGGCGACGGCGTTATTCCTTTTCTCTTATGTGAGAGTTGAGAGAGTTCTGAAACTCTCTCTCTCCCTCTGTTTTATGAATTAAAACCAAATGAGAGAGGGGAAGCTAAGATAAGCCGGTTTTGGGCTTATATTTCCAAAACGAAACGGCGACGTTTTGAGGGGACGAGTTCTGTAATTTCACGCATGGGGTAACTACGCTTTTGGTCCCTGATCCTTTGTAACCGCACGATTTAGCCATGGAATGAAGTTTACATTATTTCAATTTGAGCCTTTATCTTTTCACTTTTACATTTTAGTCACTATCCTAGGTATTATAACATTTTTGTTTATATTTGGTTCTGGTTTCAGTATTTATAAATGTTACATCTTAGCCACTGATTTAATATTTCATGTATGTTTCTTTGATATTCGAATCTGGCCATCACATTTATAAATATTTTATTTTAGTCCTATTAATGTATGTTATGTCATTTTTGTGGATATTTGACTTTGGTCCCAATGTTTGTAATAGTTTCATTTTAGTCACTAATTTCGTGTGTTGTGAATTTTGTGAATGTTCGAATTTGGACAGGATATTTATGTATTTTACATATTAGTCACTGTTGGGTATTTGGTTTAATTATTGTTCAGTCCCTCATGCTATATATCATACTATTTTTGTTTATGTTCGATTCTGGTTTTAATATTTACAAATGTTTCATTTCAGTCACTGAATGTTACCTTTCTTTATTTTAATTAGTATTTTTAATTTACTTTGTTTACATTATGGTCAATGTTTTAGTATAAATACTTTAGGTAAATTTATTGTTTGCCCTTACGAATTTATGTTTTAATTTGTTTTAGTCCCTTAATTACTTATTTTTGTATTTTATTTTGGTTTGTAATGTTTATTTATTTTTATTTTAGTCATTTATATGAATGTATTTACATATTACATGGTTATTTGTATTATGTAAATAATGTGTTTAATTCCATTTAATGTAAATATTTATATTTCCAATTACATTTATTCTCATTATATTTGTATCTATGTATGAATATTTGATTTCGATTTTATTTTCAAGAATACATATGCGTAGAATGAGCGTGGAAAGTACCACTTGGTCGAAGTGGTGTGATCCGGTACGGCATTTTAACGACATAGAAACTTGAAATAAGTTAAGTATATTTTGCTAATTAATTTGTTCAAACGATGCAATGTGTGTTATTTTAAGTGACAATTGACTTTATTTTATGTGAATGTAAATTTCAAAATTTTTAATTTGTATTCAATTCACGTTTTTAGTTAGTCAATTTATTCGTATGTAAACATTGTTTTTAGTTATATTCGATTTGTATTTTTAACATAATCAATGGTAGAATATTCTTTTATGAATGAGAAATGGTTGAAATAGCTTTCCCGACGGAGGATTGCAAATTTCAAGATTTCTGATTGAGTTAAAGGATTTTCTTTAAATAATTCGAGGCAAATTAAATAAATCTCAATAAATGGATCATAGGTTAATTTTATATTCGATTTATCATTTCCATCATTTACGACAATGTGCAAGCGACACAGTACCATTTTTGGGCGCTGTGGGGGTGCTTACCCTTCCCCACACGTAACCGACTCCCGAACCCGTTAAATTTGATTTCTGGTAAATGTAGACCATTTTTGTCTTAAAAAATGTTTTTTCTTAAATTTCTTTTAAAAAGACGTTTTTTAGGTATTCGACCTACCTAACCCAAAGGTCGATGGCGACTCCATTTAATTTAATCCAAATTAATCCAAAATACTCAATTTTTCAAAATAAAAGTCATAATCGTTTTAAAAATAATATTTAATTGTTCCACCTAAAAAAAATGGTTATGACAATAACTTTCAACTTTTTGATATTCAACGCTCACACATCTGATATGTGGAATGCTCGAGCCTGAATCTTCAAAGAATTCATTTACCAAGAGGTCTTTATGTTGTTTTTCAATAATTTTATTTGACTTATAATAATATTATGTGTCAACACACTGTATTTCACCAATACAATAATAACACACATTATTATTATATTTCACCAATACAATAATAACACATATTATTATTATATTAATAAATGAATGCAAATAAAATATAAAAGGTTGTGAAGCTACTAAGCTCATCAAATCACATCATTGCCAACTTATAATAAAATATTACCCGAAAACATAGTGACTAATTGGCTAGTTGCCTTGTCTTGACTTAAATTAACTCGAGCATATTTTTTTAATAAAATTAAAATAATAAAATAATGATAATTAACTTAATTAATTAATTTTTTATTTGATCGAATATTCACTTTTACTCGTGTATATTTTTCTCACACAAACGTTTTAAGACGCTTTTTGATTATTTTCTCAATGTTAATGTCACGTAATCGGTTAATGATAAAAAGCTCTATTTTGAAAATCGGACCGGATCGATCGATTCAACCGAAAATCGTTGTCTAATCTGGTTCAATCTAAATCGGTTGAACCGTTATTAGTGAACCGATCAGAACTGTTGAACCGTTCGAACCAGACCGGTTGAAAATCGGAAAAAACCGATTTTTTTTTTAAAAAAATTAAACCAAACGTCGTTTGTTAAACGAGCCAAGTCGAACTCGAGTATTGCTGAGCTCGACTCGAATTTGAAAACTTTAAAAGTAAGCTCAACTCCACTCAAACTCACAAATTAAAAATTATCAAATTCAACTCGAACTCGAAATATAATATTGAAACTTGAACTCAAAAAGGCTTGAACTAAAAAAAAAAATTTAGAAGCTCAATTGAAGCCTAAAATTCGAGCTTGGTTGAAGTGAAAGAATAATTCACTCAATGCTCACCAAAAAGCTCCATGATTTTGAATGTCAAATTAGCTCTATTATTTATAGAAGTTAGTTGTGATGCTCTTTTATGTTTCTTAGCAATGTGAGATTGTTTTGTTCTCATATTTTTGCTCTTTAGATTTTTGGGATGCTATTCTATGTTTCTTAACAATATGAGATTGTTTTTTTTTAAATTAAACCAAACAATATCATTTTGTTATGATTTTTTAGCCTCAAATTTATTTTTTAATTATAGTTATATAATTATATTTATTATTTAATATGTTTTACCTTAAATATTATGTTGTAGTTAATTTGAATCATTTTGTTTCACTTGATTTTATGGTTTTTAATTTATATATATTATGAATTGCTTTGAATATGACTTATGATATAAAAAATTATTTTTTTATTAAATATTTTTAGTATTTTTATTTAATTTTTTAAATAATTATGACATCGTCCGGTTCTTCTGACCGATCGAACCGATTCGACCGATTGAATCAATGAACCGATAACATGATCGGTTCGCTAACCGATCCGATTTTAAAAACCATGGATAAAAGCGGATAAGAGTTTAAATAAAAATATTATTTTGTCAAGTTTCTTGTCAATCGGCGACATGGGTGGCGCAGGCCCAAGCAAGTTTCTTCCCCTGGCCACCAACTTACAAACAGTATTATTTTAGCTCAAGAGGTGAGACACTTGATTGTCTAAAAAATCAGAACAAAGGGGTTAGATGACCATTAAGTGGACCTGGAGAAGGCGTATGATGGGTTAGAATGAAACTATGTTGAAGATACGTTAAATGATACTGGTTCGCCGTAGAGAATAATTGATCGCATAATGAAGTGTGTTACTTCAATTTCCACGGCGAACGGCGGCAGCTCGCGCCGATTGACCTTGGAGGTTTTGGTCGGACGGCGTCGGGGCTTCAGATGGAGGTGGCGGTGACACTCACCGGCGACCGATTGACGAAGAAACGACGAATGAAACGATGGGAAAATCGACTGCTTCTCTCTCTCGATTCGGCAAAACGGTGGCCGATTTAAGTGAGCCGACGGAAAGGGATGGGTCGCGGGAGGATACCGGAGCTGCTGGTGGTGTCTGCGCCGTCCATGACTGGCCGGAGATGGACGAACGGAGCTAGAAACGGGGAATGGTTAAATGAGTTTCGGGTTTCACAGGGGAGGGGTTTATTTTTCACTGCAAACTAAAAATTGGATAATTCAAGTTCAAGTTCCTATAGTTCCATCAAATTCCAAAAAAAGAACTGCAACCTTTTAAAAACGTACAATTTAGCCCTCATCCTTCCTTGATACCACTTTAATTCGACACTTTAAAATTAATAAATTTTAGCCGCTAAATTGGGGTGTGACAACCAGATTGTTCGTAGTTTTGATTTTAAGGAAGTTACTGATTTGGGTAAGTATCTCGGTGTTCCCTTGTTTCATGGAAGGGTCACTAATAAGGCCATCTATAGCTATCTTCCGGAAAGAATGAATCAACGACTGTCTGGATGAACATCGACAACCCTTTCATTGGTCGATCGTATAACCTTGTTTCATGGAAGGGTCACTAATAAGGCACTGAATTTGAGCGATCCATGATATCCATCAACTTAGAGATCGTGAAGTTGAAAACTTCAGTGCTAATACATCGGAAAATACGCAGAATTTGAAGTGTTCAATGCTACCCTATCGGAGCAATTCACTGGATCCATCATTTTTCTACTTAAAAAAGAATGTAATATTCGATTTGAATTCATCAATTATTAAATTGGATATATTAAATGCGGTTGCAACACAGTATAACAGCTGCGTCGTAACATTTTTCAAGGTTATTGTGACACCGCAAACGGTATTGCAACGGCCGCAACCGGGATAAACACCGCATCCGCAATTTAATACTATTGGTTATAAAAAAAAAAGTCTCTATGTTTTTTTTTCTCTCTTGCTGCCCTAACATTGTCTTGTTTGTGATTTTCTTTGCAGGCAAACAGAGATTTAAGATAATGGAGAATCCGACGACCATAGACAGAGAGAGGGAGACGGCGGAGAAGTTCCACAACACCGACGAAGGCGAGATATCGGAGCTGCTTACTAAGATCGAAGCACTAAAGAGCGAGAAGCTGCAATTGAGCCACGAAAACGAAGGAATGGAGGAGCAGGTGAACAAACTGAATCAAAAAGTGGATCATCTGCACGCCATGGAAGAAGAGACGGACGAATGGGAAGACGAAGATTCGAGTTTCCTCGATTCGATCGCCGAGAGATCGGCGGATCTCGAGATCGAAGTCAATAGGCTCCAACACGATCTCATATCGTCGACGCGCGAAGTAGGCGAAGCGAAGCGCGAGGTGATCGGGTTAAAGACGGGATTGGAAGAGAAAGCTTTGGTGATCGAAAGATTACGATCGGAAATCGCGGAGTTCAGAAAAGAGAAAGTCAAGGTGGAGAAGAAAGGGAGGGAACTGGAAACGAAGATCAGGATTCTAGAAATTAGGTTCAAGGAGGAGAAGGGAAAGAAAACTCGAGTGCAAGACGAAATGAAGGAGAGAATACGTGAGTTCAGGAAGAAGATTCAATACCTCGAAGACGAGGTGGCGGAAGCCGGCGATGAATTGAGAAGGAGCAAGCGAGTAAGACGACAGTGCCAGAAGAAGGTGATGGGGTTGGAGGAGAAGATGTTGGAATTTAAAGATACGGTGGACGAGAAGACAATCGAAGCTGCTATGAGCAGAAAGGTTGATATTGATTGCCAAGATAAAGGGGTGAATGTGCCGATCGTGGCGGCCGGAACGGTTGCCGCCATCGTTGTTGCGGCTGCTATGGGAAATCGTTGTCTTAGGAAGCAGTCGTGAAATAAAAAAATGTCTTATAGTATTTTTAATTTGCTGGTATTTTGGGTTAAAATCTTTCGAATTGGATCCTTTATACACTAGTCCTGTTCAATAAAATGGATTACTGATTTAACATACATATATGACCTATGATAAGCGGAAAATTCTACGACGCTTATCATATACCACAATATATTATTAAAATGATATATCGAAACATATTAGAAATAAATTTATCTTTATTATGTAAATATTAAAAAGTATAAGAATTTATTTAAAATTAATCATTAATTAAAATTTAATTCTACTTTTAATAGAATTATAATTTAATTATAATTTTTTATTAAAAATAATAATTAATTTATTTAAAATTAAAAAATTATTTAAGTTAAGAATGGTCATGAGCAATAGTTATCATTAGAGATCTTAACTCAATCGAAAAATTCGTCGGAAAACTTATCGAAAAATATTATATAATAAATCTAACGCTGTTGTTTGTCGTTGCCCATCTCATCGTCGCCCAACAATCATCCGATAATCACCTAGTCGATCACTCAGAGAAGGTGTGAATTTTAATTTGGAATGGTAAAATTACAATCCAACCCCTTAGTTGTGTTATTTTCAAATGGTCAAATTCATGAAACCACCCATAATTTCTCCAATTTAGATTTTAAACAATTATATATTTTTGTTTTAATAGACATGGCTAAATTACACTAAACCCCCTACTTTTGTTTTGATTTAAAAGGTCAAATTTAGTACAAAACCCTCACCTTCCCCTATTTATATTTTAAACTTCTAGGTTTTAAATCTTCTATGATTTTTATTTTATTTTTATTTTGAAAATTAATTTCATATTTACTCTTTGACTTTAATTAACAATTAAATTAATATTTTATTTTATTCAATATTTAAAAATATTAAGCATCAAATTAAAATTAATGATCAATTAAACTTTTGTAATAGTTTGTTTTAATAAATGACCGTCGAAGAGTAAATTATCATGATTCAAATAATCACAATTAATATCAAGAAAAATTAAGTATAAAATTGTTAAGGTTAATGATAATAAATAATATAAAATTATATAAAATTATTTCTAATAAAAAATATTGAATAAAATACAATATTAATTTAATTGTTAATTAAAGTCAAAGAGTAAATATGAAATTAATTATCAAAATAAAAATAAAATAAAGTTCGTAGAAGATTTAAAACCTAGAAGTCTAAAATAGAAATAGAGGAAGGATAGGGGTTTGTACTAATTGGGGGGTTGGATTGTAATTTTACCATTCAAAATTAAAATTCACACCTTGTGCAAATCAATGAAACACCGGGGGATAAAGATATTATGTATTCTAAATCTAAGAATTAGGAGGGATAAAGATATTATTTAGTTAATATTTAAATTAAAAGGACCTAAAATGCTATTACACTAAAAAATTTGAAAGGGGTATTGTATGTAATTTCGTCCCTAAAAGGATTCCAGCCCCAGGAGACTCGCACCTCTCGAGAAGTAGTTACCCTTTGATATGATCTATGATTAAACTCACATGATCTCGTATGTATTAAGTCTGCTAATCTACGAGTAGTTATCGTGACTCTACGCTTACAATAAGGGTTTCTATAAAGTTTCTCAACTAAGATCGAAAGATGAGTTGGAATATCTTCTCTACTTCTTCCTAATGAAAAAAGAGGATTTAAACACTGACCAACCACCATCTAACCACTGATTAAAGAGGGGTTTTTTTGTTGCTCTTTCGGTTCAAATGTTTCATCTTGACTAATTCGGATTGACCCGCGTCGCACACTTGATTTTTGTGGATGAGTCCCTTAGCAGAGATTTTTTACATACTCGAACCTGATACCTTGTTTAAGCGATATCAAACTGCTTACTACTTGAATCGACCCATATTTATGCATTGTGTACATGTTACAAGGTAGCTTTTCAACTGTTTGTATTAATGTGCATGATTGGAAAACTCACTCTTATTTAAACTTCAACGCGTTAAAGATTTAATGCTAAGCTCCTCTCTCAATAAGAACTTAAAGAAAAACATTAAAGCTTATAAAATAGGGTAAATTATGCATTTAATACCTAAACTGTCAGTTTTGAATCGAAAAGTCAGCCTCCCTCGATTATTTTTAAAATTTTTATGTATTTTAAATATTTTTTTTTATATTTTCTAGGGTAAATTACACGTTTAATAACTAGACTATTACTTTTGTTCCATTTTGATACCTAAACTTTAATTTTTTTTCAAAACCATATATAACGTTTAGTTTAGGTTTCATTTTGGTATCCCTTCGTTAAAAACTTAACGGTTATTTTGTCGTGTCACCATAAAGTAATGTCACACCATCATTAAAAAAATAAAACGTCACATTAGTAGATCTGTTATTTTTTTAACGACAAGTACGAAATTGAAACCTAAACTCAATGTTATGCATGTTTTTAAAAAAAAATAAAATATGGGTATCAAAACAAATCTATTTATAATTTATTTTCACCTCTCGTAATTTTATAAGTTTGAATCCTAAAATTTTATAATTTAGTCCTTAACATGATTCCTACGTCCGATACTGATTAACAGGGCATATAAATGCAGTTGCTGGCATCAACTAACCTTGCATTGCTTCACCTGTTCCTATTTACTCCCATTATATATATTCACCCCCTCGTTCTTTTGAACACACACATCTTCGTTCTTTCTTCTTCTTCTTCTTGTGTTCGTATAACAAACTGAGAGATGGAGAATTTGGCCATCTGGATTTTGGTAGCTGGTTTTCTCTATCAGAGTTTGCTCATTCCAGTAATGTCCATCAATGACTTTGAAGATCAGAGGAACTTTTTCTTTCATACACCAGACCCTCACACAGGGACTGTTCCCTCACACGGTGGCTCATCTCCAACTCAAGAAACTCCATCACATGGAAGCGGTGGCGGCTACGACCCAACACCGACACCATCGCATGGAAGCCGTGATGGCTACCACCCAACACCGATACCATCGCATGGAAGCCGTGATGGCTACCACCCAACACCGACACCATCCGGTGGGGAATGTGAAACTCCACCGCATGAATCATCGACTCCATCGGTACCGTCACATTCTCCTTCACATGGTGGATATGATAACTACCATTCTCCTTCAACTCCAGTCACCGAAAACCCACCAGTCACTCCGGGTGGCGATCCGGGACATCCACATTTGGGTGGTACATGCGAGTAAGTGATTGTTATTCTATTAGAATATATAATTGTACACATATATGTATATCGTATAATGTTATCGTGAAGTATATGATACAAAATTAAGTGATCAATTATACTATGCGTTACTTTCAGTTTCTGGAGGAGCCACCCAACACTGATATGGGGTTTGCTTGGTTGGTGGGGCAATCTCGGCAGTGCATTCGGAGTGACCGGCCATCCAGGGTTCGGTTCAACCATGAGTTTGCCCGATGCACTTTCGAACACACGTGATGACGGAGTCGGGGCACTTTATCGTGAAGGGACGGCTTCCTTTCTCAACTCCATGGCGAACCGAAGGTTCCCATTCTCAACCAAGCATGTCCGGGAGAGTTTTGTTGCGGCACTAAGTTCAAACAGTGCCGCAGCAGCTCAGGCCCATCTGTTCGAGCTTGCCAACGAAGGCCACCTCAGGCCTAGGAACTAAACAACACCTTAATTTGGTTTAATTTATCAGTTCCTTTTTGGAGAAATCCATCAGCTTGTTTCTGCTACGATTTGGATGGATATATGGTGAATGATTTAACGTTTAGTTCTTGTTTCATTTTAGTAATTCATCGTTAAAAAATTAATGCATTTAACACCTAAACTATCATTTTGGACCCGTTTTAATACTTAAAATTAAAAAAAATCAAAACTTAACGTTAGCTTTTTAACATAATATTAAAATGAAACAAAAACTAAACTCTAAGTATAATTTTAAAAAAATAAAAGTTTAAAAACTAAAACAAACTAAAACTGATAATTTTAATACTAACCACGTAATTTACTATGAATTTTTTCATGGTACAATACTTATATTATTTCATTTAATATAATACAGAGCTGGAATCTGCAGACAAACCTACCTATGCATTCCATTACTACAAAGCTGGAGGGAATTCAAACCCTATTTTCAAGGAATAGAATAGAAGGATCTATTAGAATAATTCCTGTAAATTTGTCTAATAGCATGTTTAGTACTTATTTTGTACATATTTATAAAACATAGTCTTAATTTTAAATAAATTAATAAATTTAACCTTCCAAATTTAAATATTATTTCAGTTTAGTCCTCTAAATTTAACATCAGGAACAAAATCTAACCCATGAATAAAAAATCGTTGTCGTACATCTTCATCTATGTCATACGTTACCATATGACATCTTCATCAACAATGTAGACCATCAAATGATTCATTCTTTTCAACTCTTTTGATCATATGATATAGAAGTTCTCTAGCCGACCAAAAACTCTTACAAGACTTTTGATCAAGTTAAGTAACTTTTAAGGTAGGGGCGGAACTTCGTGGAGGTCAGAGGAGTTTTGACCTCTGCCAATTATTTTTTTAAGTATTAATTAATATTAAAAATATAAATAAATTTTTTTATTAGGTCCCCTCAATTAAAAAAATTGTGTTTATGGAAAAAAAAATTTAACCTGCTCTATGCCCCTGTTTTTAGGGTCAGATCTATTGACTAACTGTTGCATTTATATACTTTATTCACCTAAGTCTTGGGACTGATAACACTAAGTCTGACATCGACACGCATAAAGGGTTGATATATAAATATCAGTCGACCATCGTTAGACTATCAATTGCGACTCTCTTTTCAAATCAAAGGGGTGAACTATCTACAGTTTCTTTAATTCAGTTATTCTCATCAACAATATTTATTTAAGCTTGATGTTCATTTTCGATACTTATTTAAACATAAATATAAATATATATATATATATATATATATATATATATATATATATTTAAAGAGAAAATAACCTCAGTGA